TTGCAGTTGTATTCTATCGATTGTCACTAATTACAACTATCATTTACCAGAAATCAGCTATCACTATGAACAACTTCTAACCAGATTTACTTGGAGGCCGTCGTCAGTGTGGTGTTTGGTCTGCACCCGACACTTTCTAGCTTTTTGAAGGGGAGGTTACATGAAAGAAAAAGGATGGGAGTAGGGGTCTCATACAATGAGGGATGGGGAGGAATGTGGGCTGACAAATGCTGTCGTTTACGGAAATTACTGTTTTTGCTCTTTCGCTTGGGAGAGATTGGATCAATTAAAGCAACAGTCCCAGCAGGGTTTTACCTTCGACACTAATGGTGTGGAACGATGCGCTAGCCCTAGTCAAGAACATAAAAGTGTGACTGAACAAAAAACTCACCTTGGAAAGCCGCTAGAAAGGGAGCTGAACGGCTTCGAAGTGGGCGTGGTTGGAATCGGCCGAGGGATTGCAGCCGACAACCACGCCCACTTCGAAGCGTTCAGCTCCCTTTCTAGCGGCTTTCCAAGGTGAGTTTTTTGTTCAGTCACACTTGTTCTTGACTAGGGCTAGCGCATCGTTCCACACCATTAGTGTCGAAGGTAAAAACCCTGCTGGGACTGTTGCTTTGAAGCAACGATTCCAGATCGAAGTCGCGGAAAAACGGTCGATAATGAAGTTGTAGATGGCGAGTTGACTGCTAATGGGAAAAAGCGAAGAAAACCGCCGATGAAGCCTTTGAACAGGAACTCCCCCTCTTCCCACTGAAATGAAGGAAGGGCGTTGGACGAGCTGTCCGAACTATTGCGCCGCCGGCATTTGTTTGCTGGCTCGTGCCAGCAAGAAATGCGGCTGCAATCGCATATGCACCAATACAAGCAGAGACATATGCATCAGTACAAACAAAGAAATGCGATAATTAAATGAGTTAAGCAAGTAAAAACCAATCAAAAGAGGCAGCATTAATTTCGAAACGCGGTACAGTTACACGCAATCGCGCAAGGACCCGCATCCAAGCACGCGATCTCCACGGCTGGCAAGTGGGGTTACCGGTCGGACGCCACGCCCACTTCGAAGGCGTTCAACTCCCTTTCTAGCGGCTTTCCAAGGTGAGTTTTTTGTTCAGTCACACTTCTTATGTTCTTGACTAGGGCTAGCGCATCGTTCCACACCATTGTCGAATGAAAACCCTGCTGGGACTGTTGCTTTGTGACATTACCCTCGCCTTCAAATGACCAGAAATTGTGCAATTGCAGAAATTGACGTGGCATTGGCACACGTGGCTAAATTCTCGATGAAAAGGTGACATCACGTGTGCTCAAAGATGTTCTTGAATCGATGCCACGTTAATGCCACGTCAATTTCTGCAATTGCACAATTTCTGGTCATTTGAAGGCGAGGGTATGTCACGGCCACCCATTTCTCTTCTGAAAGCGAAGACCCACGCGTCGCGGCTACTTATTCACTAAGTATATTCCCGAAATGTCTATAACCAACGGAACACCAAGGGATAGAAAAAACCTGGGTGTTTAACTGGGTGGGAGGGAACCCCCGCGGCGGCGGGCGGCGCTAGGTCGTTCGCCCTCTCAAGCTTACTCCAGGGGCAAGTTCCTCCCATCTCTCCACCACGTGATCGAAATACACCCGCCATCCACGGACTAACCCCCTGGAAAAGGGACGAATAGGTCGTCCAGCCGCCGCCGCACGGTCCCCCCATCCCCAACCAACCCAACCTACAACAAAAACTGACTGAACTTCCGTCTGCACGCGGTATTTCGGTGCCAACTCACGCTAAATTAGCATCCAACTTGGCGCGTGAGCTTTTGTGCCAGTTTGGCGTGTCTGGTCTGGTCCCTCTGCATTCACATTTCAACGGTATCAGCTTGCCGAGAGTTCTAAATTGAATCGGCCTTCCATAAGTAGCCTATGTATCCTCCCCCACCCCCCCCCTCAACAACCTTATTGCATTTTGAGTTGGAGCAAGATTCAAATTGCGCGCCACGACCTCACACAGTATTGATTAGAAGCGCGCACTTTTCAGGACACCATGCACTAGACGCAGAGTGCACTCTCGCCTCACGACTTCCAGCTCATTTGCACTTTAAAATGAGCGTTGAACAAAACTGTTCCTGAGGCCATTCTTCGTACTGAGCTACCCTTACGTAACAAATAAACCAGTACTTTACATCTAATAAACCTGTCCTACCGTGCCAGATGAAGGGCTATCCAAGGCTTTCACCCAAAGTGCAGCACGCGCCCCGTCAAATGGTTTGAAGTCCTATTAAGCATAAGTGCACAACGAACAGCTGTTGCTGGGCTGAGAATCCTGTCTTGGCGCCACCCTGTTGTGAGCGCTGGTGATAGCGCAAGTCGATAGCATGCCTAGTCTGACGCATGTCGGCCCGCGCTACGTAGCCGATCGATCGCGTCTGGGCGCGGGCCACCTTTAGCGCGGTGCTTAGTAACCCGTCCAACGCGCCATCTTTCACTCTTTCACCAGTTTTGGTCACAAAGTGCTTGATCTCCTTAGAATGTTGCTTTTTTAACAATTGTTCGAAGTCGTTGAACCTTGATGTGTCTCTCCATATAGCGCTAATCATGAATCCATTCTGGGCTAAACTCCGATAATAGGGTTAAAACTATATTTACTATTTGTGGTTCCAGGTCTGAAGGAGGTGCTGGGCACCGAAGTGCTGCGGTAAGGCTGAAGGACTACTGGAACTCTTTTCTACCGGAAAGGCCACGTCAGTGGAAACCAGGTGATCCTGACCCACGCCCTAGCAGTACTGGAATGGACTGTTCCATTAAGCGCAAGAAAGGCGTGAACTGGACGATTCAAGAGAACGAATTGGTCATCGAACTGTTCCTGGATCACTACGATACGTACTACTTCAAATTCTCTGACGGTAAGCAATTTCTTCCTCCGTTCTGTGGTGAAAGCTGGTCACCATCTGGCCATTTAATTCATGTGGAAAAAGTGGAAGTAACCAGATTTGGGCGCAATGTGGCTCGAGGGGGGCCAGTCGCCGCGCGCGATCTCTGCGTTTTTCTGTGTAAGCATTTCCTCTTCGCTAAATCGGGACTAAGCCTCGGGCAGGGGAGGAGGAACTCCAGGATCATAGCAATTTTCATCTTCCCAAAGTTCCTGCCCACTCCTAGGCTTAGTACTACAGGGCGCGGACGAGCAGAGATCGCGCGCGGCGACTGGCCCCCCTCCAGACACGATGCGCCCAGATATAAACTTTCGACTTCAAACCACCTTTTTTTAGTCCTGTCCAGTTAGGGGGGGGGGCATGCGGTTTAGAGCGCTCAACTTGATGCGACCACGGATAGCATATCCTCCTAGTGTAAAGGTTTAGGAATAAGCCTTCGGAAGGGAGGAAAAGCCCCGGGTCCGTGAGCAATTTTTGCTTTCTCTGAGGGACTTCCTCCTCCTTCCCTCCCTTAGTCCTAGCTGCTCACTTAGTAAATAACTTTTCATCAACGTTTATATTATAAAACACGAGAACACGTAAATTACATAAAAAAAAAAAAAACAACGTAGGAATAAAGCTGATAGCAGTTTGTAACTTCAAAGGACTCCTTGAGCCAAAACTGGCATTAGAACAGACTGTGCACCGCAATGCCCCTCCTAACTGGAATAGATCTTTTTTATCGAATTCAAATAAAAAAGTGCGATGATGGGAGACTAAAGACCAATGATTGGGCTCTCAGCAGAGAGACGCTTCCGTTCTGCTCCTTTTGGGGCCGTTTAGATCTTCATTCATTTAGAATCATGACTAATCCTTACACTGAGGATATACCCGGTATAGGGTCCCATCCTGTAGGGGGGTGATGTGGGCCACAATTTACTTACATCTTTGAAGAAACCTAATTTTTCGCAGGGGAAGAAAGCTCCGGAGTGGGTGTAAAAGCGAAATTTGGCTTGTTTTGTTTGTTTGCTGTTAACGCCGCAGTTCGCGTTTCGAATGTTCCCGGTAGCGTAACCTGTAGCGCACCTGCCCGGTAAGCGAGAGGTGCGGGTTCAAGTTCCGCGTGAGGTGATAGTTTGGCTCATAGCCCAGCATTCGTGTGTGGAAGTTCCCTCTCCCTGCAAAAATTTGAGTTTCTTCAAGCGGCAGCACTGGTCTAATGACGGACTACTTGAACTCAGCCCTTTAACCGCCTCTGCGCTCTCTCGCGGGTCCCTCTCCTCTCCAAGGCTTAGTCCTAGGGCACTCACCCGTTCTCTAATCGTCTGTGCTCTAGCCATCGCGGCAGGACCATTGAGGAAAAATCAAGTAGTCCGTAAACCCGGCAAACCGTCGGCACCCCGTTACTGGAAGGAGCCTCGGTTTTCCTCTCTGGAATGTTAACTAAAGAGCTTCGACCAACTCGGATGTATAGTTAGACCAATACCTCCCTTCTCGCTGTAAAGCGCTATCCGGACTACACTATCTTAAGCTGCCAATCATATTTTGTTAGTGCTACCGAACCCTGCTGTTGTAGCTACAAATGACCGGAAATTCATCCATAGGGGTTGCTGAAGGAGGATTTCATGACAAGGTCGGAGGTTGCCAAAATGGAACATATCAGTTGAAAGGCAGCCGGGCCCACTAACGCGTGAGGTGATGCGCGAAGAGTATCCCCGCGCCGCTCCCGTCTCTGCACGCACCATAAACTCACCCTCACCGACATTTGACTCTGCGCGTTTAGCGTAGAAGGCGGGATTGAAGAGGCATGTACTGAAAAGAGGCGCATCAATGCGGAAATCAGCAGGAAAAAAAGGGTCTCATTATCGAGTTCTCGGCCGTTTTTTATAATTTTTATTCATCCCGCCACAACTTCTTCTGCTTACTTTAGTTTCGAATGGGCCGCCTGGTCATCGTAAACTCCCCTCAAACAGTGATCACCCGAACGGGAGGCGTTCTTGATGTCACAACTTTTTTGGGGCTAACTAGTTTTTTTTTGGGAGGGGGATCACCGCCGCGGCGCACTGCATGTCCACGTCCTCTCAGCGAGGTAATGTGAATTCACACATTTCAGCTCTTCACGCACGTCAAGTGACTCTTTTACCGTGTGATCGTGACCCTAGGTCCCGGAACCAAGTGGGCTCTGCGCTCGCTTTCCGCTCCATATTTCTGGCGCAATAACTCCATTTTGCTCAGTATCTCAAGCTTTGCCATCAAACTAGGCTTGCATAAAGGCTGTTCGTGACTCAAAAACGAGGTTCGCAGCGCAACCATCTCGACAAGAATTCCGCATTCTTGTTTCATCATATCAAAAGAAAGCGTATTTTCGCAGGTAGCGATAATCTCCACCAGAATCAAGGATCTATTGTAGCATTCTGTGCGTTTACGTCGGTAATGATGCTGCGTTTATTATTGGCCGGCTTCTGCCTGCTTCATCCTATTATTCCCATGAAAAATCCTGCATCTACGTTTTGAATGTTTCAGGGTCGAAAAAGGGTACAAAAGCGGTTCGTGATTCTTTGCACGAAAGATGGGCTGAGCAACTGACTCGGTTGGGATTTGCTGAGCGAACGCCTTCGCAGGTTGCTGAGAAAATCAAAAAGAGTATCATCGTCACTCGAAAATATATCAACAACAGCGTATGTCACAGTTTTTTCCTGTAGTTCCAAAAAAGAGTTCCTTAAGCTGAATGTGATTTGCTGTAACTTCAACCATAGCCTCATAGACGCATAGATAAAAATGCCATATAATTTTATTACATTTCTTGTTGTATACAGTGTTTCTAATCCGTTTCTGCCCTCTAAATCCTACACGAATATCAACTAAGTATTTACTGCTCTCTTCTTCCATTGTGGGCACTTTCACCAGAATTAGTCAGGGCATAGAGAAGGTTAGCCTCCTTGATGTCGAGCCTTTTGTTCCCATGTCGTGTATAGTATAGTCGATATCCGCGAGTTGGGGTAGGCGTGTCACCGGAAGTGACGTGCACTTGATAGAAGCTATGTGGATAAGCTGCTTCCAACATACATCGCTGGATATCAGCAAAGCATGCTGGCAACAGCTTATCCACGCAACTTCTATCAAGTGCACGTCACTTCCGGTGACACGCCTACCCCAACTTTCGGATATCGACTGTATCTCTCAACATTAGCCAAAGGGGATATGGAAGGGGGATGGTCCACTAGGATAGAAAGCGAATTTTTTTTCGCGTTCCCCCGCGAAACGCGAAAAAGTCGCTTTTTGTCCTAATAAACCACACCCGGATAGCAATGGCGTAATAGCGGTGCCCCCTTCATTACCGTAGAGTCAGTGGAACTGGTCTCGTTCGTGCTAACCAAACTTTTCGTCCGCTTAGTTGAATTGTAGCTATCATCTGCAGCTAAAGGGCACTCACATTAGGCATTTCTCAACTTTTTTCAGCCAAATTGAAACCTCAAAGATGCTGTACATGTATTTTTTTTCTTCATTTCAGGGTGAGAATCTGCGCTCGGGATCCGTAGAATACCTACCGGCATTTCTTAGGCCGCTGGAGAAGAAGCTGCGAGAGGAGTACGCTAAGCAGGCGAATGGTTGTGGTTCGTTTCTATATCTTTTGGAGCCTTATCTTGAACATTTTAATCTTTTCTCCTTTTTTTTAACTTTGCTTTCCAGAAGATGGTGCAATTCAATTTTATGAGTTATTGAAAGATGTCAAAGAAGAGTCCATGAGTTCTACAGGAGGCAAAGACGCAAGCGATAATCACTCTTTGGATGTGGATCTTGACATTGAACCTAGTACTAGCAGCTTGTTTGAGGTAGGTGTAACTTTAACTTTCTCTAGTTGACCGTCGTACCCCCGATCGCCCGATTGCACGAATGCCGCGGTGCTTGGTGCTTCAAATGTGAATTTATTTGGAAAAAAAAACTCATTGGAGAAACGAAATGAACTAGGGAACGAATTGCCATGAAAAGGGGGTTCGCGGACTACTTGAACTCAGCTCTTTAAACCCACTCGCGTCACAGCGATTGCTGTCTTGCAATCGCGTGGTTGCTGTAATATAAGACCCTTGCCCCATTTCTTTCCAGAAAGGCTATCTTACAGCTAGAAACCACTTGGACATACAGTGTTGTCTGCATGTTTTAGCTTTTGTCCCATATATATTAGGTATTTCTGTACTGAAACTTCTTTTTTGCAGTTTTTCTATAGGTTGAAGTTTCTAGCTTCGATAGATACAGTACATTTTACGCAACAGTTTTGTCTATGTCATTGTTGAAGGTGTTTTTCCCTTTCATCCCATTTCCTCGCATATATAATAGTATCTTCTCTACTGTTATGCACATCGTTGGACTTTTCAGAGTTCCATGACTCGTCTTTCTCAAATGGCCAATCTACCGCAGTCCCTTGATCTCCCTATTGCGCCGGTGACACCATTCAAGAATTCATTGATACTACCATCCGTGAATGGAAAGAGTAAAAAGTGAGTCGTTATTCCCTAAAATTGTTTTCGTTGGGTTCAGTCGTTATTTGTGTATACAGTCCATATCTGGCCGTGTGAGTAGGCGTGTCTACAGATTTGACGTGGCGGCCGCCGAACTTGATAAAAGTCGCACTAGAGCTTTGTAGCATGTTTTGCTCATTTCCAGCTAAGTAAGTTTGAAGCGGCTAATCCTCGCGACTCTATCAAGTGCAGCGGCCGCCACGTTATTCTCAGTGACACGCCTACTTGGTCGGCGAGATATAGACTGTGCGTTGTTTCCTGCAGCGAGGAACTTGTAATTGTCGCAGACTTATTAGTTACGATTTTATCTTTTTGGTGATATCTAACGCCATGTTTGTGCTAAGTCTGCCTAAACAGGCATACCTGCAGGAATCGGCGTTCCCTTGTTTGCTTGACGTACTTGTTTGCTCTAGTTACGGATAACTTTTGAAGAGTTTTTGCTTTGCTGAATTCTATCAAAATGAAGCCAGCTTTTTTTTCAAGGCGTTCGTCTGATGAAGAGCTAGATGACCTGACTCTAAAACGTCAACGCCTTCTAGAGGCAGAATCGGAGCTCCTCGAACGAAAGCGTCATCTCGTTGAGATGAAAATCAAGTACTGGGAAGAAAAGATGAAACGCCTTGACAAACTAGAGGAGCAGCGACGATGAAGCCTCTCGACACTATTCTTGTGTGTGGGTTTCTTCTCTCGTTTCACAAGTGCGTTCAGACCAGTGCCTTATCTGAGTATCGAGGGATCCGTGTACACACGTGGTGTTGAGCTTTATAATGCACCACAGGGGCATAAGGAAGGGTAGAAAGTGAGAGGCTTCTTGCGAGTGGCGTTGCTGGCCTTTAGGAAAAATTCCTAATCTTGGTCGCGACGGAAAGTCTGAACGCAATTAAACGAGCAATGTGAGGATCGCACAGGGAATCGCATTTTCTTGCAGTTTCCTGTTGTTGATGTGTACTGAAAAGCGCAAGTATCTCATGGTATTGCGTCTTCTTCAGAATACCGCCTGAGGTGTGCTAGTCGTCAATCCTTTGAGTTTCCGACTTTTATTTTATTTACGGCTACCGTACAAGTTTTGTACTGTGCAACATTCGTCTTTGTTTTCACTCCTGTTTCATCTCGCCTTGAAAGCTGGTACTATTATAATTAATTGCAATATGTAATCATTAGATTATTATACAAGCAAAGTTCTATGTTATTCTTTGACGAGTAGGTTCCACAGGCTAGTGTTGATGTGGCCTCCTGCACTGTTACCGTCTGCACGAGGAAGCTATTACCGTGGTTGCGTGCTTCCCGAATCCTGCAGTAGGCCATGATGAGCTCTGTTGAACCCTACTCTGAGATTCATTTTGTTTTGTTAAGTTGGAAGTCGATCGCGCCAACGGTACACGCTGTGATTTGGTAATTAAATTAGTCTTGTAAACGAGGTGATTTCTATATTTACTGCTACTGTCATGTATACAAGCTGTTTTCATTGTGCTTTATTGTTCCGGAGTCGGATTCACGGCAATCGCTCATTAACTTATACTTATGTTGAAGAAAGATGTGTCTGTTGTATCTTCCTATTGCACTACATTTTTAGTCCGTGGCAAATTTTAACCGAAGTCCGTAACGTCACAGATTCCCTGGTGTAGAGCTTTCTTCCTATGCGAAACTCGACATCACAAGTGTGTCACTGCTCACGACTAGTCATTCCGGGCCTGCAAAAAAGGTAAGGCTGGTGTCAGAGTCCGCGATGCGTGACAGGTTTCGCAGGTTTGGCGCGATTCGCCGCGAATCGCAAAAATTGCAAGTGCCCCATTTGAACATTTGAAACACTGAATATGAAACAAGTAGAATCATGAGCAGTCGTCATTCAGCCATCACTATCAAGCAGAAGTGGCGGCGGGATTGGAGAGCACCTTGCAGTATTGATCGGGCACTTGTGATTTCCTGTGACCCGTCGCGCGAACGCGCGCAAATCAGCGCAAC